TATATATATATATAATCTAGTGTTCGATATGTTGGCCCTCATAATATTGTGCTAGTTTTGATTTTATTTTATTAAATTATTATGTTGTGTCGGTTCTAATAATTTTGGTTTAATATAATTGAAATGATATTATTTAATTCATGTTACATTAGTTCATTAAAATATTGATAGATACTATACTTATAAGCCCAATATGTGTTTTCAGAAGTGATAAATATGTTGGTTATGATAATGTTTTCCATGTTCGGGTGTTTTTTTGTTGATTGTCTTAATATTGATTGATTACAATTTTGATTACGATTATGATTATATTATTTGATGAATGTCATATAAATTAATAGTAATTCTAATTAATGTTTGATTATTAAATATTCAAGCGTTTGAAATGTAATTATGCAGATGATAGGCAGTTATCTATTAATTACTAGGTTTTTAAGCTTTGTGAAGTGATCATAGCAACTAATATTTAATTGAATACATTTGTGACCAATGACTACTGAATACCCGAATAGCCCCATTTGTGAGCGACAAATCAGCTATAAATGATTTGCTTCTAATGTAGTCTTTCTAATGCAACTAATGTAACACGTAATATGTAATATAGACATGAAGAAAAAAAATAGCAATTCACATATCACAATTCATTTTCTTTGCTAAATATAAATTTGGCAATGACAGAATTAAAAAGTTAAATGATAAAAAATGGTGAAAGTAATCAAAAAAATTAAGCAAGAATTTAGAACTATATAAATGTAATAAGCAAGTATAATTTAATTTTCATAAATTAAGTTTTCAGACTAAGTTTGAACAAATTAAAAGCACCAATTAAGTCAATAACAAATTATAAGAAGTAAAAATACCGAAAATAAGAAAAATCATGCATTACACGAATACAAGACGTCTTCCTTGGAAATCAGGGTTATAAATAAACCAAGTTGAGCTAAACAAAAGCTTGCTCGAGTATGAGCTCATTTGTCAAAATTGAGTATGAGCTCCATTCAAGTATTTCTAGTAGTGTGCTAGCTAGATTCGATTAAAGTTATGGATGTTTCACCTTGATTTGATCTTGACTTATTACATAATCGACTATTATTCTCGAGCCTATTGAAAAACACCATTTTCAAGCAAGTTATTAGCCATTTGAGTAAGTTTTATCAAGTCTATTACTGAGCAACCTCTCAAGCTTAAAAAAAAATAATTAAATGAACTACTAAATATATAAGTTTTTCAATGAACATTTATGTGTCATCAACAAATTTTTATCATCATCCATGAATCCCCATGCATTTTGAGCAAGAGACAATCAAAATTCAAATTCAAAATCATACAGGCTTTGATTTTATCATGTTTATAGTCAAATCAAGCACTTAGGCAAGACAAACCCAATGGCACCAAAAATGAACTAATCCAAGTCCAAATAAGCCCCAGATAAAATACATAGAAGTATATTTAGCATCAACTTAGAGTGTCAAACGATCACAAAATTTGGCATGGTTATAGTCAAATCAAGTCTCGCAATGAAAAGAAGCCAACGAGCCAAGATCATTCAAGCTTAAGGTCGTCAATGCACTTAAATGTCGAAAAATTACATATGATCAAGGGAATCAAAATGAATAGTCTGATATAATGTTTTGAAAATCTAACTAAATTTACTAAAATTTCTCTTTCAAAAACTATGAATAGAAGCTCATTCTTTACTCAAGGAGGCAGAGAAAAGATAAAAAAATGAGTTGACTACTAAAACTTAACTCTTAAAGTCTCAATGATTGTTATCTGCCACCAGAGCTCACCGCCAACCACTAAAGATCACTGTCGACTATCAGCAGTATCTGTTACAGTCAACTATAATTGTTGTAGTCATCAAATACAACATTTGTAGCCAACTACAACTATTATAGCCACTAACTATAATTACTGTAGTCCCAACTACTCCTATATGATTGTATTTGTGGTGTTATTTCACAATTGTAGATTCAACATAATTTTGTAATCTCATATCCTTAATTCTAGAGAAGAGTGAACCTTTGTGTTTTCCATTTTTTAAATGGATAACTTTAACTAGGCAAGACATCATGATTTTTTCCCTTTCATTTAGTTTTCCATATAAACATTTTGGGTATCTCTTATAATTTTACCTATGTGTTTACTAGGAAATTATACAAAAGCTTAGACTTGAGATTATTTTTACAATTGAGAAAAATGTGACTTTAGTTAATAAATAAAAGAATTTATTGTTAAAAAAGACACCCATAAAAACATATATCAAATAATGTTATAATTGAGTATTAAATGAGTAAATCATTCATTTTTAATCGAGCTTCTCAATGAGTTTATTTTTGAGCTATGAATAATATTGCTGATCATTATAAATTGAGTATCAAGCTTTCCAAATTTATTCCTTTATCAATCGATTATTTTTATATAATTCAATCATATTCAATTTCTTAATTAAAAGATCATGAACAAGCTCAAATCAAGCCAAGCAATGAGAAGCTTTTCTCACAAGCTTCAATATCTTCCCAAATGGCATAGCCAAGCAAGATAATCTTCCAAGATTCGAAATCCCGCACCAATTCCCTAAAGCCACGAGTTTAAATTTGTGGATGAGAGATAAGAGCCTCTCTTCTATGATTCCATGATGTTGGTTTAAAGAAGTAAGCCTACATATTTTATCATTAGAATTTTAGCTATAAGAAAAAAGGGTTCAAATTTCATAACAAAATCTATATAATTCTCTGCTCATGCCATATTTTATCAAAATAAACTATGAGACTGATTTTGAAAAAGACTGTCAAGTCAAGCTTGGATCTATAAGAAAAAATTTTTGGGCGTGGCAGTTCATGGATACATAACCGCCAAAGGAGTGTTGAAATATAAACTTGGTTTTATTTGTTTAAATAAAGCTTAATTTCTAGAAGTTTATTCTAGAATATGTGGTAGGTATGAAATTATTGTGTAGTAGGTGTGGTAGGTGTTGAATTATTGTGTGGTAGGTATGGAATTATTTGTAATCATTGGATTGGAATTATGGTGGCACAATCCTAGCCATTAATTTAGGAGGTGTCACTAGTATAAATAGGGGTGGAGTCTTTGAGTTTGTATCAAGCCAAGTAAATGTGATAAATAAGAGTGAAGCTTCTTCCATAAGTTGTGTTTTTAGCCTTTGTCATTTCCTAAAAGTTTTTCCATTCCAACAAAGTGGTATCAGAGACTAAAGGTTCCATTACAGAGCAATGACAAACGGTGGCATGGTTTCGTTCCAAGTCCCGATGCTTAAGGAAAGCATCTACGACAATTGGAGTATCAAGATGAAGGCACTCCTTGAAGTGCATGACGTTTGGGAGGTTGTGGAGAAAGACTACGATGAGTCAAGTGATGAGTCTGCTCTATCCACAACACAAAAGGATAGCTTACGAGACTTGCGAAAGAGAGACAAGAAGGCTCTCTTCCTCATCTATCAAGCTTTAGATGAAGATGGTTTTGAGAAGATCTCAAGTGCTAATTCGGCCAAACTAGCATGGAAGAAGCTCGAGGTTTCGTATAAGGGAGAAGAGAAGGTTAAAAAGGTACGACTTCAAACTTTAAGAAGTCAATTTGATGTTTTGCATATGAAAGAAGGCGAGTTGGTCTCCGATTACTTTTCTAGAGTCATTACCATTTCCAATCAACTAAAAAGAAATGGTGAGAAGTTAGAAGATGTGGCTATCATGGAAAAGATTCTCCGATCGTT